CTCTCTCAAGGTCAGACTTATTTCCAAAATAATCAACAAAGGAAAAAAAAAATTAAAAGAGATTCTTGTACGATGACGAGGCATTAAATCTTTAAATTTAATACTTTTTTTTTTTTAAACCAGAATTACTGTAAAGCCCATTAAGGTGCAAAACAGTCACTCAAAGAGCTAGAGAAGAAGTAACCATTTCTAATGCCACAGCAAGATTTCTTATCTGCTTGAAGAAACACAAAGGAAACAGTTAGGGATCCCTTCTCATTTCTTCACTAAGAAAAGGTGTGTAACCAACAGACAGTGTACACCTTTCTGAAACCATGAATTTTACCATCCAGAGAATTCTCAAGCAGTTCTGGGGTCTTGTGGGCAGATTCCATCCAGAGGGTTATGACACAAGAGCCAGATGCGGCTTTACATCTGTTACCACTCCTTGGGCACAATCGAATGTCTTTGCTCTGAACAATGGGCAGTTGACCCACCTGGTCTGTTTAATGGAGCTGATTCCTGTTGGCTCCTGTAAATCATCCTGTGTGATGCCCTAATGCTGTTTTCCTGTTCTGTGAGCATCAGATTTTAACTTCTTTAACTCATTTACATTGGAGCTTTTATGACATTGTCATCTTCAAGCAGCTAAGAAATTTTCCTGTGGCATTAGAAATTATGTTACTTTTTCTCTAGCTTTTTTTAGTGTTCTTTATGCATCTTAATGGTCTTTCAAGTAATTCTGGTTTTAAAAAATTGGTACTAAATTTAAGACTTTAATTTCTGGTCATTGTATACAACTTGTAAAATTTATCCTTTACGGATTATTTTGGGGAAAAAATTACTTTCTTCCCTCTTTTTAATGTTTGTATTTCCATTTAATCTTAGCACTAGTGGAAGAGAGAATAAAGGCACAGGAATTAAAAGTATATTGATACTCTTAAAAAAGTGTGGTTGTACTGTTTTTCTATGTTTCTACATCACTTATCAAGTTATCTGCCTTTTTCTCTGTGACAATGCCTCATCTTATGTTCAGAACAGAAATGTATCATGATTAGTTTAGACATAATAAGATCATTCCATAATGGCTTTTGTGAAATAATGATAAACTACTTTGAATTTAGAGAAAAATGTTTCATAAATATTTTCATTTTTCTGTCAATTTTAGGTATTTTAAACAAGCGTTTGAAACAGTGACCTGAAGTTAGAGCTAGTTTTTTTTTTTTTTTAAGAATAAAGTTTGGTGTTTTGATTTTAGATGGTTATTTCGTAGATATTTAAGAAATGAAGTATATAAAACTGTTTTTCCCAAGGAAAAGATGGGTGAAGAGGAGTGTTTCGGCCTTGTATTACTCTGAATTATTGTGGAGGGAGGACAATTAGACTGCGTCTCTCTGAGAGGGGTGGTTTTGAGGGTGTGTTCTGGAGCCACGTTGATTAAGTTCAAGTTCTAGCTCTACTGCCTACGAGCTTTGTGCCTCTTTCCAAAATGGCAACAAGAGTGTTGATTATTCAGTGTTGCTGTGAAGAATGAATAACCCGTGTAAACCTCTCAAAACAGTGCCTGGCACACAGTAAGCTCGGTACTTACTAGCTATTACTTGCAGAATGAATTAAGGATCACTTGGGCTATGAAAACCATTATATTAAAGAAGATACTGAGCACAATCTAAAATCTTTACTTTCTCTCAGTAATGGAAATTGTAGTAGTTGTAGGCCCATTGACAAGAAAGCTAGTAGAGGCTAACAATTATTTAACTCTCTAAACTTGTTTAAACGCATTGAGTTCCTTCCAGCTTCGGGTGGTGCTGAGAATGGGAGGAAGGGTTTCATAGAAAGAAAAAGGTAACTGCAGTCTAGGACACATGGAGTAGATTTGGTGGTGGGCTTTGGTTAGCTGGTTGTTAGCTGCCCTCAAGTCAGCTCCTGACCCATGGTGACCCCATGCACAAGGGGATGAAATGCTGCCTGACTTGGCCATTCCCGTGATTGTCTGTGGATAGAAATGTTGTGCTCCATAGGGTTTTCACTGGCAGATTTTTGAAAGACTGCCAGGCGTTAATCTGGAAGCCCTACAAAACCTGTCCAGCATCATAACCCATTGCTGTCCAGTCGATTCCGACTCATAGCAATTCTATAGGACAGAGTAGAACTGCCCCATAGGGTTTCCAGGGAGCGGCTGGTGGACTTGAATTGTGGATCTTTTGGTTAGCAGCTGAGCGCTTAACCACAGTGCCACCGAGGCTCAGGTCAGCATTATAGCAACATGCAGTCCACCATTAACAGACAGAGAGGGCCGTAAAACTTGGGGCAGATACCTCGGGGTGTGCCAGAAAAAAGTTTTTCGGTTCCATGGAGTAGATTTCAACTCCTAGCGACCTCATGTGATAGAGTGGAACTGCCTGCCCTGTAAGGATTTGAAGGCTGTAATCTTTCAGAAAAAAGTTGTTGCTGTTAGGTTCCATGGGGTTGTTTTTGACTGATAATGACCCCATGTGACAGAGTAGAACTGCCTGCCTTACAGGGTCTTGAAAGGTTGTAATCTTTATGGGAGCAGCTTTCCAGGTTTTTCTTCTGCAGAGCTGCTGAGTGGATTCGAACTGCCAGCCTTTTGGTTAGCAGCCAGATGCTTAACTGTTGTGCCACGAGGGCCAAATATAAAATGCATATGCTCGGGCCTTGCTGAATTACATCAAAATGCAGAGAGCGTTGTCTGTTCAGTCATTTATTCAGCATTTCCTAAGAATCTCCTAAATGTCAGGGAAGAAAGGGGGGAATACAAAGATATAGTCCTTGTATTTGAAAAGCCCACAGGCTACAATACAGTATGAGGGACTCTTTTATCAAGTACAGATGGGGTTGCCATGGGTTAAAGCTGACTTGACGGCAACTGGTTTTCATGAGGACACAGCTGAGTGAGGGACTAACTCTGTGTAGGGATATAAGGGGAAGTTTCACTGCGGAGGCAAGAAGTACCACTTGGGCAAGGGAAAACACTCCTCACTTTGAGTTGCCTTTACAAGTTCTAGGAACATGAAGGAGCTTGTGGTGGCCAGAGAATCATGGACACTGTTAATACACTAGTTTGGATTAGATTATGAAAAGCCATCTTTGCTGTCCTAGGAATCTGGACTGGCTCTTCGGCAGTGAGGTTCTTTCCAAAAGTGATGGCTTCCCTAGAACAGTTCTCATTACCACTATTGTGAATATTTGTAATCTGTTTTTTTGAGCAATATATATATATATATATATAAAACAAGGTCATAATTAAGCAAATATTCACAACAACTCTGTAGGGCAGTCCTACTCTGTTCTGTAGGGTCCCTATGAGTTGGAATCGACTCGACGGCAATGGGTTTGGTTTAGTTTTGGTAATTAAGCTAAATTTTTATTGAAATTGTATCATAGTAGACCCTGGAAGTACTCCTTCCTCAGAGTCATGACGAACAGAAAAAAAAAAAATACAAGTTGTTGACTTTGCTTTAAGTTTCGCCTTGTTATGTGCTTTGTTCATAAAAATCGGTTTAGTGTGAGTGGGCAAGTCCACCCTTTTACCACTAATTTATTTATTTGTCCCCTAATTCTATTAGCATATTTTTATTAGTATACATTTTATTAAGTGCTTAGGATATTTCTGTAGATGGCCAACTTCTTAATAATATGAATTTATCTAACGAGTAATGGTTACCATTATCACATCTAGGCATTTTAAAATCGGAAGACACCCTGAAGTTCAGTGGTCCAAATTCCCACCGAATGCACGATTCCCTTTTATTATATCCTTTGAAGGAAAAACAAAACAAAGCAAAAACCAAAAAGCAAATACATAGCCTCCGCTTGGCTATATGTGGGATAAGGAGTTGAGGATTTCCCTGGGAAAATCATCCTACTTCTTAATATCTCTAGTCCTTAGAAAGGCCTTCCTTTTAATCTACTTTCTCAGGAGTTACATTTGTTGATCCCATTTCTGCCCTCTGGAGATTAAATAAGTGTATTTCTTCTTGTAACTGATGACCCTTTAAATATGTCAAGACTGATATTCCTCCTTTTTTCCATCCCCTTAACAGTTACCGTTAAACTTCAGAAATTCTTCTAGTTTATTCGGTAGGACTTTAGTTTCTAGAGTTTGCTTACTCTACTCTGGAACTACAGCAGTCTGTATGTCATTTAAGTTTGCATATTCCATCAGCTTGTTATCATTTAATTTAAATTTTGGAAAATATTACTTATAATGCAATGTGAAATTGGACACATAAAACATATGAGATTTCGATGAGTACATCAGGGGTAGAATTTGCTGATAATTCAGTGGAGTGCGTGTTCCACAAGAGTTTAGTTACATGGCACCAGGGCTTACATTGAGTTAGATTTGCAATCCACTTCTTCTCTAAAACACTTTAAACATTCCAGTATCAAGGAAACATTTTAAACATTATTTAAACTTCTTTTTAATACTATTAATAGTTAATAGCTCTCAGCCTTTAATTCAGGAGCTGTGGAATGAGGTTTGAACTTTGTTGATTTTCAAACTTATGATTTTGCCTCTGGGGAGAAATCATGTCAAGCCTTTCTCACACTTGTGTTTTTTCTCCAACTAAATCGGAATTACCATCTCCCCACAATGCCTTGGAGGCATATGTAAGCCATTTGGGACCGTGCATGGATAATTTTAGGACCCCAGTTGCTCTGGTGTTTCTGCTGTATAGTGAACTCCTAACAGAGACGCTAAGATCTGAGTCATGGAATCCTTTATCTTTGTGTATATTCTGGTTGACTGATGTTGCACAGGTTTTGAGTTTAGAATTTGGGCTCCAGTAATCATCATCTGAGTAAGCATATGGAAAATTGCTTTTGAACGTCACGTAACAAAAGGTGTAACCATCTTTTGATTTGCACTGCTTGAATTCTCTTGAATGTCATTTCATTCTTTCCTAAAATACAGGATGAGGCATGACACTACACAGTCTTACTGTTGGGTATGAGCTTTGTAACCTAAGCCTTGTTTTTGTTTTTCTCAAAAGGCGTTTAAACAGAAATCACCTTCAGCTGTTTCCTGAGTTGCTGTTTCTTGGGACTTCTAAGCTCTACAGGCTGTAAGTAGACACAGATAGTTATTGTTGCTTTGGGTAATACCTTATGTTTTATTAAATGTATTTTGGATCTGTTTCCTTATGCTTTCCTGGAATCTATTCACTAATAGATTAATGGATAAAAAAATTGCTTTTTTTTTTATCCTGAGGAAATATATGATTGGTTTTGTAGGGGTTATAATTGCGTATTTTATTTGGTTAGCATTTAGTGGTTTATGTCTGTGTCACTGTAATTGTATCGTTATTATTGGTTCATGTGATGATGATGAGATTTACCTTCCTTCTTTGTGGAAAATTTCGATTAGGTTCTGAAGGGAAGAATGGCTACTGTGCTTCCTCTGAAGGGGAAGTTGACAGTATTTTTATGTAATGTCGGAGGTCTTTAATGTTAGCTTTTTTGATATTGTTTCTGTATTTGAGTTGTAGTGTTTATTAGTCTGGAAATACTATTAAATGGTATTTAAAGAGGGCTGTAAATTTCCTTCTCAGTGTTTTCTTTTCATGCAAGAATCCCAGACTGTGCAATATGAATGATTCTTAAGGCAAGGTTTTCATATCAGATAACGTCATAGGTTATTAAAGGAAGTTGTTCTTTGCAAGGAGCATGATTTGAGTATTAGGCAGAATTAGCTTTTCCTCCCTAGAATGCCTGTTCGATGACCTAATACATAGTAGGGAATACACGTTCTGAAAGGTTTTAAAATTAGATTTTCGGGTATATGAATGGTTTTGTACAGATGGGAGACAAGCTAAAACGTGTTGGAAAGAAGTAAATAACAATGGTTATTGATGTTTATGAATGTTGAGAAAAAACTATTGGGATGTAGAGAGAACATTTTTAGAGTGACCCCCACCTGGACAGTGGAGAAAGTCCCATGTGGTTGTGTTTGTAGGGAAGGTTAACATACTGCTTTTTCTGAACTTGACTTTGATGTCAAGGCTTTGTAGCCTACTAGTTCAATACTGCTGTTATCAAATCCAGACATAGGAAGACTTTACACCCTCCACCCCCTTATAGCCAACGTCTTCGTTAGGTCCTGACACCTGAACTTACTATAGAGAAAACTTTCTTGTTAGTCGAAGAGGACGCTGCTGCCAGCTGACGTGCCAGATCTTCTCTGGAGTCTGACTTTCCTAACATTGTTCCTCTAAGGATAGCCAAAGTCACCTAACAGTATTTCTTCTCTTTGTTTCTCCTGCTGGTAAATTGTCTTCACTTAAGTAAATTTAAAAAAAAAATCCAATAAAGAAAGCTTGAGACTGCCTTTTTAACAAGAATTCTCTAGGGAGTATTTTTACCAAGGAAATAGGATGTAAGTCCCTGTAAAGATTATATTGTGTACTGTATATAAATTGATACTTATTTAAATATTTTTACTCAGTTTCTTGGAAGGGCCACAGAGATAGTTTTAATAGTAGTTTACTTTCTGATTTCAGTTTTCGTGATTAAGGGGATTTTCAGAATGGACTTTAAGGCTCGTATTCGATGAGCGCTGTTAAGCTATTGCTTTGCTATTAGTGTGAATATATAAAAACAATGCACAGCAGTTTAGGAAATCCTCTGCCTTCTATGTATCTGAAAAATAGAATTTAAATTGAATGACTATTCTCTGAATTTGAAATTATTAAGCTGAAGAGGGAAATGTAGGAAGTAATTTCCACTGCGTCTATGAGAAAGAAGAATGTTTGATTTTTCATCTAGCAGTACTTGAATTAATTCTCCTAGGGGTTTTCAGGTGGTCTAATTCACTGCAGAATTCCCCCATTGGAAAATTATATTCTATTTGACATTTTGCCCTCTTCGACAATATCACGTAGTAGACAAAGGGATTTTTTTCTCTTAAACGTTTTGTTATGATTTTATAACCGTGAAGTTGCTGTATGAAAGGAGACTTGAAATCTTTAAGACAAAAATGAAAGACACGGAACCCGTAAGGCAAGACTTTTTAATTAATTAAAGGTATGCCATTACAAAAAGGGGAAAATGGATAGCTACAAAATGTTGTCAGCTTTATTATGTGCCTGCTTGGCTGAGAGGATTTCCTCTGGGGAGCAGTGGGAGATAAAGTTGTGTTTCTTAGGTGGAACTATTTACGAGAGGGACTTGAATACTCTGATAGCTGTGAAGTTGTTGCTTGGTGACTTAGTATTTAATATTGACAGTGGTTTCCCGTTAACTTGGAATTTGATACTGACAGACACTGGTTATGGCTAAAAACAAAGGGGTGTAATTTTTATCTGCATCCTCAAATCAAGCATCTTCTTTTGAGTTGAGGAACTATTGTCTCACCTGAATTATACTTAGCAGACTGTTAGCAGGATATTTCCCTGGAAGAGGATATGTTTATAAGTTAAAGTGACCACTTTTTATGATGGTGATTACTAATTAAATTAAGAGCCATCACTAAGAGTCTTTATTAAATGAATCAGCAAAAGCTTGTGAAGGTGATGGCCTGGCTAGTGTAATTTCTGAGAGTAAGGCTGCAGTTTCAAATTCTCTTTCTGTAAGGCAGGTCCCTAGTAGCACACCTGGAAAATAAAAAATGTTCTAGAAGATGAAAAACTGTGCACAAATCTTCACACATTAAAAGGACATTTTAAAAGATGTAAGTGACAAAATAATGGATATAGGGTTTTTGACAAATAAAGGGGAAAAATGTTGAGATAGGGGAAGTATTTGACTGCTTATTGCATATACACATTAAGAGATCTATAATTATATCTACTATTTAATGCAGTAGAGCTGTACATATCTAAAATTATGCAAGGAGCAAAAATTCTAGATTGTTTTCTTTTATAAATTTTGCGTAATGCCAATTAGTATCTCAACTTATTTCTTTATTGACACATGGTATGTTTTACCCTTATTTAATACTATTTTTTCCTGATATATCACCAATGAAAAAGTTTGCCAGTTAAATACATAGTTCATGCGCTGATGTTTGAATTTATCATTGATTGCTTAGATTAAAGCTAGTCTGATGTACTGGACATTAGGGAGATTTTCTTTGAGTTTTTATAATGAATAATCACCATTTGACTCTTGGCTGAAAAAGAGATGCCAGGTGAAGAAACACACATGCTTTTTTGCAGACTCTAAATGCAATATAAAAGAAAAGGAGGGTACACTGTATATGAATTATGATTTGACACGGTTGGTTGCCGTTAGCGGCCAAATATGCTTTTCCTTTGCTGTCTGATCCAATTTCTCTTTGGACGGGTTGAGAGAGCACTCCATGTTCAGGTCAAGATGTTTGCTCAGAAATAGTAGTACAGTTGCAGCTGTGTTTGTTGGAGCTGGAGACTAGTTTAAATAGCATTACCATTTATCCAGTCCATTAACAGAATTCTGTAAAATAATACCAACTCTGCATAAACTACAGGACAGTGTAATAAAATTACAAGCACTTGTTGACAGATGGAAAGTGTAAGTAAAGGGATGTGATAGGTTGGAGTTTAAAAGAGACAGCACAACATTTTCTTAACTTATACAGAGCTTCTATCCTCCCCTTTACTCCTCCTCCAAAACTCAAGTTGTTTTTCTTATGCAGCAAGCAGTGGTGAGGAGCCCTGGTGGCACAGTGGTTAAGAGCTATGGCTGTTAATCAAAAGGTCAGCAGTTTGAATCCACCCAGCTGCTCCTTGGAAACCCTGTGGGGCAGTTCTACCCCGTCCTATAGGGTCTCTGTGAGTTAGAATCGTCTCAACGGCAGCAGGTTTGTTTTTTAAGAGTGGAGACAGTGATTTTCAGAGCAAGCTGGAGCTAATTAATTTTAAAAGAGATTGCAATTCATTTGAAACAATTATGATTGATATTTATGAATATTGATATTAATGGGTAGCATATGCAAATCTTTCTGATAAATGTATTCTTAAAGCTGATTTACCATCGAGTGATTTACACTTTGCTACTTGAGTTTGCAACTACTAATCTGGGCTTGTTAGAGAGGAATTTCATTGGTAGTACTGCGGTTAGGCATTTTGTTATAAATATTTGTTTTGTGGTTTTCAGTTTATTTTTTGAGTATTATTATATTTAACCAGACTTCTGACATGAGCTTAAGTATCCCAGACACTTTGCAGAAAGTTATTTTTCTCTTATATCGACCACAATAAAACAAAGAAGCAAATAAAAGCTATGTATGTTCTAGTGACTGATTTTCCTTATTTTTTTGAATAAAAACTTTTTATTTTTCTTTCAAAAGTGGCATTTATTATTCCACAGAGAGCTTTAGAGCCACTAAACTATCTAACATTATAAATAGTACTTTTAAAGCCAATAACTTTGATGGGCCAGTGACTACTTATCTGAGACAGATTTTTACCTTCTAATTTGATTGATCAGGCCACAATTCTTTTGCTGTCAGATTCTCAAAATTATTTTTTGATAGCCATAATAATTTAGATTTCTTTTTAGAGGAAAACTTTTTTTTTATTTTATTAAGGTAAAAACTTAACTTGCTAAGCCTAACTAATATATAATTAAGCTGTTTTTATTTTTTTCCCCTTCCCTCATAGAAGGAAACTTGGTTTTCTTTTTATTATGATTATAAGAGCAACATATGGTCATTGTGAAAAGGATAAGACAATTTAGAAAAATAGAAGGAAGTAGAAAATATTCATTGTGTCACTACTCCGACATAGGCCTGTTATCCTTGTCAAATTTGTATTATCTTAGTTTTCTTTTTCTATGATTACATATCTAAATGTTGGTATACGTGTATCACAAAAACATTTTTTTTTTAATACACCCCCAGGGTCTAGAATAAGGCTTGACCTTTAGAAAGCGCTCAGTAAGTATTTGATGTATTGAATTAAATCTCCGTCGGGTTCAGGGTTTGTAACTTGAATGAGCAAATAGTAACTCTGGGAAGGCATTATGAATAATGGAGAACCAAATTAAATTTAAAGGATAACCCGGCTAATTAAATATTTGTTCCCAGTAGGTTTTCTAAACGTTGAAGGGTTCAGTAGACACAGCATGATCATATTGATTTATTTTT